CTCACCTCAAGCACTGTGGGAGCCACAAAATAAGAAAGACAAAAAGCTATTGGACAGGATCCAAAAATGGTGAAGTATATGGAGGGCAAGACGTATGAGGAGCAGATGAGATCCCTTGGTTTGTTCAGCCTAATGAAGAGGAGAACAAAGGGAAGCATCATGGCAGCCACAGCCCATGTGGGAGGAGAGCAGAGAGTCAAGTGCTGATCTCTTCTCTGTGATGACAGTGTCAGGACCTGAAGGAACAGCATGTAGCTGCATTGCGAAGGTGGGCAAGATTGGGTATTAGGGAAAGATTCTTCACTGAGAGAGTGATTGGCACTGGAATAGTCTCCCCAGGGCAGTGGTCATGACCCCAAGCCTGTCAGATTTCCAGAAGCATTTGGACAACTCTCAGACACAGTTTGAATTTTGAATTCTGTGTGGAACCAGAGTTTAACTTGATCTTTGTAGGACTCTTCCAACTCAAGATATTCTATGATTTTAACACATCTCCTCTGCTGTAGAATGAGTAACTAATGGCTTAAAGAGAAGTAGGCCAGTGTCCTGCAAAGGCAAGCAACTATACAACTCACGAGAAAAGGACACTGCTTCCTTCTTGTTCGTTTCCATCAAGGAAACTTTTACTGATTTAATGTGCCAATCCTGATGTCTTTTCTGTGGGTGGAGAACTGTGGAGGGCATTTGCTCTTCTGCTGGTCATCAGATTTCAGAACCCACGTGGGGATAAATACTATATACTATATGCTATGCTCTTTTGTATGGGAGAAAGGGAGGCCACATTCCTCCCTGTAAATGAGACTTTACAGTTTTATTTTTCTCATGCAACTTTAAAAATATTGAACAAAAATGTATATTAAAGTGTTGGACTGACAATCTGGGAACTTGCTGAGGCTTAGTCATAGAATCATTGAATGGTTTGGGTTTGAAGGGATCCTTAAGATCATTTAGTTTCAACCCCTCTGCTATAGGCAGAGACACCTCCCTCCAAACCAGGTTGCTCAAAGTCCCATCCAGCCTGGCTTTGAATGTTTCTCAAGAGGGGGCATTCACAACCTCGCTGGGTAACCTGTTGAAACGTAGTACCACCCTCACAGTAACAAATTTATTCCTAGTATCTAGTATAAATCTACTGTTTTCCAGTTTAAAACCACTTCCCCTTGCTGTACTCTGCTGGGTTTAATTGAGACATACCGGAAAATCTCTGTTGAGTTTAATGGTGATACAACTCTGCCTGGTTTAACGGTGAAAGAGCTCTGCTGGGTTTAACGGTGGCACACTTGCACAGCTCTGCTGGGTTTAGTAGTTGCACATAGCACAGCTATTTCTCCCAGAAATGCCAAAAATGTCATACAATTTGGAGAAAATCTCTTATATTTGGGAGAAAAGTGGTATTCCTGTGAGAAAATGTCCTATTCTTGGTTGCAAGTGTCATATTTGGTATTGTCATCTAGTATTTTTGAGAGAAAACGTGTGGCAGTTCTAAGAAACTGGGTATTTCTGGGAGAAAATATCAGATTTTTGGAAGAAAAGGTCAGGTTTCCAACTGAAATGTGGTACTTCTGGGAAAAAATGACATACTTGTGGGAGAAAACGGGGAAATTCTGGGAAAGAATGTCTTCTATTGGAGAGCAACTGTCGTATTTTTTGTGTGAAAACTGGACCTTTGTGGAGAAAATGTCCTATTGCGGAGTGTAAAGTAGTATTTTTGAGAGATTGTGAAGGTTTTGAGTTTTCTTTGGTGTATAAGTTGCTCAACTGCGCATCTATCCTTCTCACTGTCAGCAACCCTAGCATTGAGTTATGAGATGTTTTTATGTAGCGAGTTAAGTGGCAGGAAACATTTCCTTAAATTCCTCATAGCTTTGCTTGGAAATAAAGTAATTAAGAAACAGACATCTGTAACATGAAACCTGAGCAGGATTGGTGCTATCTGGCATGACTTGGAAGAAGAATTCCACCAGCAGTGCATCTGGCAAGCAGCTGTTTTGAGATGCTGGATGCCTCAGTTTGGAAGGATTAACATTAGGAGAGGGTCACATTTTGCCATGTTGCTTCTCGTACAGGATCCTTCTTGGGGATGGACAAGCAATGCCTAATTGAATGGACATAGGACTGGGAATTGATTTCTCAGTAGCTGGAGATAAGGCTTTCTGCAGTGCTTTTCTCTTTGGTAGAATCAATTGCCCACACACAAGTCACTGTCTGCTTCTGTTCTGTAGCACTAATTGATCAAAGCATTGGACTGCTCTGACAAAACATACCTCTAATGCTGGACACAAGCTGGACTGTAAACCTACGATATGCTTTCTGTCACTTTGATTTGGCTCTTTAATTGCTGACTATATCTCTGGGGACTTACTGACAGGCAGGAATGTGTTCAGGATGGCTTTTGGTACACACCCTGCAGGCCACTTCTGCACTGAAGGCATTCGCTGTTGGTCAGTTTGTGCATCTGACAGTGCCAGCTAGGAATTGCCCACAATACTGTTGCCTTCCGTGTATGGTGTCATGCTTGGTGAGATGCACTCCGCATCAGAAGGATGGTACTGGGTCCTTTGTAGGTGCAGCCAATGCCACACCATTCCTAGTTCCACCTGAGTTGTGCACCATGTGCCCAGAACCAACACAGTTATTCCACTGTTCTCATAGTTGCATATGAAGCCCTCAGAAGCCACAAGTTTGTCGGGAATAAACCCACTTGGCCAGGGAAACCTGCTGATAAACCTGGGGAAGCGCACCAACTCAATATGAGTGAACAGCTTCGTTTATTGTAAATACAGCAAACCTTATATAGATACAGAACCCGAAACCACGGTTATAAACAACTCTATAAATCACATACCTAGGGTACAGTGATCAGACAGGCATATTGAAGGAACAAAAGCGAACATTCCATAAACCCATGTACCAAGCACCGTTGCTTAGACACAATCTATGCTACAGTCATTCCAAGCACAAACCGTCCCTGGCTTCTAAGCCACTTCCAAGCACAAACCGTCCCTGGCTCCTAAGCCACTTCCAAGCACAAACCGTCCCTGGCTCCTAAGCCACGTAAGCTAGTTTGATCATCTTCTAGAAACCCAGATTAGGGTACAAGATAAAACCCACTGCACAAGTTACCAGTCTACTTTGTTCTGCCCCAACTTATGTGGAGCCATTTCAATGCCCTTTGCTTTTGCAGGTCCCTTACGGCCCTTCCTGGCAGCCTGCAGAAACCAGTTCTTTCTCCATCATTGCTCTGCCTTGCTACACAACTCCAGGCTGGACACTCCAAACATGGAGAAGCTCCTAGGTGTATAGCAGCACCTCTCTGCTATAATCCCTTCTTGCCATTATTCTGTTGGTTACTGTAGAGATCAGTACACGTGGGAACCTTTCTCTTTCTCCTTCTTCAAAACCTCTGCTTTGCTGTTTGCTTGCTCCAGTGTGCGGACAATGCTGGATGTTCTTTGTTAGCAGTTTCGTGTCTGTGACAAACATTTTACTTGATAAAAACCTCTGGGCTTTTGCTCTTGCATATTGTGACAGTGGAGATGGACAATACTGACATTTTCCAGATAAAACACAATTTGCAGCCATGAGGCAGTTCAGGCTTTTGGGGGATTGTTAAACTTTAGAACAGAGGTTTTCATTGCTTATTGGTAATTGGTTGATTGTAACAGAGATCTTTATTATGTCAGTGGAAACGTGCTGCTGGGTTTCAGGGGCACGTTATCTAATGGGATTGTTTTGTTTCCCAAAGCAGGTACATGAGCTCAGCTGTTGTTTCCCTGTATAATCAATAGATATCAAGATGTTATAATCACAATATAATCAAGAGAGTTAGGCAAAGTAGACAACGATAACAAAAAGACAATAAGTGGAAGAGCTTACCCTTCGGCTGGGCTCACCACAAAACACCAAGAGAGGTGATCTCCAGAAGAGATCCTTCCCCTCTAGTAGCCAGCTCTTAAATAGGTCTAGGAGGGGTGGAGCCAGGCTCCACCCCTTCTGGCAGCACAGGTGAATTGCCTTCACCTGTGCTCCGCTGGCTGACTCATGGCTCACCTCAGGTGATCAATCAGAGGATCAGGCTGTGACTCAGCAGTTCCCATACATTCCCTTAGAGTTCATTATTTACAGAGCTCTGGGATTTGTTGGGTTTTCTTAGGAACAAATCTGAACTCTGGGAAAGCAGTGTTTTCCTGTGAAATACCCTGGTTTGAATCACAGCTGTCACTGGAAGTAAACTAAAAGAAAAGTTAGCCCAGAAATCCAGATTGTTTTTAATTGTTGCTTTTAATAAAGATGATCTTACAGCCAGTGCAGTGAATCTTTTTAACTGGACTTTGAAATAGTCCTGAACGTGAATTCTTTCTTTTTGTCACTGGTTTTGTAGCATGCCATTGTTACATTTGCCTTGGTATCATTCTGGGTTTTATGAACGTCTCCCATTTCTGAATTCGTACTTTTCATTGGGGAAATCCCCTCCCACCCTGTCCTTAGGTTTTCATTATATGGTGCACTTACTCAAGTACCTGATGATTTCTGCCAAGATTTTTCTCTCTGTCCCTTGAGAACTTTCAGCTGGGAGACAGAATTATACAAAACTCCCAAAGTGATGCAAATTTTTCCTCATACAGTAAGTCATTTTCTGTAGTGTCTTTCCTATATTGTTGTAACTCATTGATTTTCAGTGACCAAACTTTTCTTATGCAAAATCTTTTTCAGGAGCAATAAGGAGATGTTTGAATTGCTTCAACTCCATGAACTGATTGAAGATCTTCAGAAAACGACAGACCCAGTTAACTCTGCCATCTGTGCCAACCTACATTCCATTCTGTCAAATCTAGGAGCAGAGCAGCACTTGTGCTGCCCCTGCAGACACAGCTCACTAGCAGCATCTGCCAAGCCAACTCTTGACCCTACCCTAGATTTTTCCCTATCCTGTCTCTGCCTGTCCCTCTCCTGTGCCCTTCTGTCCCCTGTCCCTGTGCTGTCCCTGCTCCAGGCCGCTGACAGAATCTCCTGGCAGCCTACCACAAAGTTGAAAGGAAATTGTAAGACAGAAGAACAGAAGTGTGATGAATGAGAGGGGAGGACAAAGAGGGCAGAACTGAAGAAAGGATACAGGTAAGAGGAGCAGAGCCGATGGGGGAGGGGAAAGAAGGAGATGGCAGGGGAGAATGGACAAGAGGGAAGAGCAGAAAGGCAGTGAAAATAGGATTTCTTCAAAAGAATTGTTTACAGCTTTCTTAAGAGACAGGATTTCTCATGATAAGATTGATGGTTTTCCACTTCCTGAATTACAGAGAACACATAAACACAGAAGGTTAAATAAATCCTAGCAGGAAGGTGCCAAATTCTAAAGCAAAAGACCAGGGAACAATTCCACCTACTGCACTCAATGGGACGTCTTACCTATTTGCAGAGCACCCGATGCGAGTGGTTTGGCTGTTGTGAGGGAGAAGGATTGGGAACCATATTCCAATTTGTATCCCTGGGAGGAGATATTTTGGAAAAACTGGTCCTCACAGTTTTTCCAAAAAAACTGCAGAGCCTCAAACGACCCCGGAGCAGAGGCCTCCTTAGTATATGGGAACCCCGAGAAATCTGAAGGACAACCAGTAATAGGGTTGGGAGGGAAACAAATGCAACCTGTGAAACACAAATAGAAATGAAAACAGGAAACCTCTCGAAGTAACTGTATCCTGTCACAATTGTCCCTGTCCCAGAAAACATCATAGGGATAGGTATTCCAAAAGGACTCACCTTGAATCTTTGCAGCAGTCCGCACCAATTTGGAATAAAGAATTGCATTAGTGGTCCGACAATTTTAGTGGGAAAAGTAAAAATGCCTGCTGTGCAGATTCCTTCTGCAACTGAAGTAGTGACAATGAAACAATATAGGACCCTGGGGGGGGGCATGAAGAGATATCCAGGACAATTAATGATTTATTGGATGCAGGAGTTTTAAGTCAACTACTACAGCTTGGAACAATCCAATATGGCCTGTCAAAAAGTGATGGGTCGTGGAGGGAATTAAATAAGCACAGCCCACCTCTCACAGCGGCTGTAGCAGGTAACCATTGCTTTAAGATAAGAAGTTCAGAAACATTCCAGAAGTGGGTGTGCTGTAATTGATTTAGCTAGTGCATTTTCCACTATCCCAACTGCAGAGGAACATGGCAGAGGTGAAAGATACTTCCTGTAGATTGCCTCAGAGATGGCTGCACAGTCCAACCATTTGCCACAGAACAGTGGCTGAACATCTGCACGATTATAAATTCCCTCCTCACATGCAAATAGTCCATTATACAGATTATATGTTATATCTTTGTGCACATAGGATCCCCGAGACACAAACTCCTGAACGCGTCTAGGACTAGGAGTGGATCCAGCTGTGCTGAGGAACCTTACCTCTGTGGTTTGAAGAGTTCACACAGCAATGGGCTTGGCTCTGATCCTCATGACACAGCAGGAGAGCATCCTCTAGGTGTGTGTGTAACCTTGCCCTCTATGTGGAAAATAACCAAGTGCATCCAGCCATCTCCAGTCTTGTTAAGTCACTGTTATATCTACTACAGCATATCTATGCTCATCAACAAATACGTTCCTGCTTCCCCCTTAGAAGTATATATTGTAGCTGTATCTGTTATAAATTGGTGAAGTCCGCATGATAGCAACTAGGGACACTAACTATTACAAGATTCATGGAGTGAAAGCCACTCCCAAATTCTTATATAAATGGGCTCATGACACTGAGAGCCCATTATAATTGAGAAACAAGGGACCATCAGGAGCCATCAAGGATGAAAGGGAAAAAAGGTATTATCTGTCACATACAAAGTAAGGCAGAATGTAAATAAATGGAACAGGGAGCAGAAACAACAGCAAAGATTTTATTTTCATTATTATTTTTTTTAATAACCTACAGAAATTGATTTTGCTTGGGTTTGCGTCAGGCACACAGAACTATGCCACACGGTATGCAAAGGGGTGGATATGGAAATGAATTGTATTGCGTAGCTACAAATCTGGGAGTCTCTACTTTTAGTGAGGAATCAGAATCACCACACATTTGAAGCCCAGAATCATCACAGAATCAAATAATCTAGAACTGGGAAACAATCACAGGATCTGAAATAACAGAACTTGCACTCACAGGAGCTAGTATCCTCGTAGCATCCTCATACAATCCTCAGACTCTAGAATCCTAGACTCCAGTAACCCCATAATAACCCCACACATTTTGTTTCCTCACTCCCACAAAAGGAAGCTTTCTGTAGAGCATGCTCACAACTGATGCTATCAGTCAGCATCACCCAGCTTTATTCTAGTTAACTAGAATATCAAAGCACTGCCAGCTACAAGTGCTCAGAGGTTCTTTCTCAAAAGATGAATCTTAATACTGTTTTTCATTCTAATTTGGATATGGGCAGGAAACCGAGATCCAGAATCTTTATGAAAGCAATCCCACTGTGCTCTTCACAAAACCACTCCCCTAAGACTGAGCACAGGGGCACAGCCGATGGCAGCATCAGCTCAAGGGGACACAGCACTGGAAACGCAGCGACAGTGAGAACGCCATCAGCGACAACCACAACCCCCAAGTCCATCGGACACGGTGCTGGAGGTCAGTGACAGCAACACTGCAACGACGACGCCAGGAGCTCCCTGTGGCTGCCAACACCACTCCGCTGGCGTTCCCCTCTCACAGCTCCCCGCGGATGCCAGGCAGCAGGTGGCAGCGGTGATGGTGGCCACGGCGGCAGACACGGCGTGCAGGTCACGGCGCATCAGGCACAGGCAGCGCGTGGTAGCAACTGCCCCAGCTCGAGCTCAGCCCAGAGGCCCCCCCAGGCCTTCCAGCAGCCGCGCAGCTGCACTGAAACCACGTCCCAGCACCTCAGCCATCGCACCCCACGGCCACCCCTCGCCCATCCCCAGCCACTGCTGCAGCAGTGAGGGGCCCCCCAGGGACACCCCTGGCAGCGGCACTTGGGCCGCACCATTCTCCTCCACCTCCTCGGTCTCCGACGCCTTCCCCGGAACCCTCAGCCCCGCTGTGGGGATCCCGGCCGCGCTCCCCCCCGGCTCCGTCTCTGAGTCATCTCCGAGGCCTCGCCCCGCACCAGCGTGAGGTAAAGAGGAGAGGCCACGGTCTGCGAGAGGGGAACAAAAGGGAGGAGGCGGAATTCGGGGGAAGAACGGCCCCATCAGGCACGGATACCGCTGCCCCTTCTCCCGAGTCCCAGGGGAATACCCCGCAAAACAGGCCCGTGACCCCCCGGCCCCAGTGCCTTCTCCACCCCCTTCCCAGCCCCACGGAGCCCCCAGAACACGTCCTGCACCCGCAGCTCCAGCAGGACGCCTTGGATTCCCTTCCTGGCCCTGCGTGACTCCCGCGCCCCAATAACGCACCAGACCCACCGCCCAGCCCCGCGAGGACCTGTGTTTCCTCAGCCCCGTACAGCCGGCTCCCCTGGTCACGTGACGCACACCCTAGCTGCTGTCCGTCGCACCGAGTGGCGTCAGGCCTCAGCACGCCTGTTACCCTGACTCACCTCACTCGGACCGCACACGCGCAGAGCAGACACCCCACATAACCTCGTTCGCCTAATTGCCCCTCCGCCCAAGCTTTAAGTGACGGCCAGGGCAGCCAATTGGCTCAGCAGAGGCGAAGGGGCGGGCGGGGCTCTCTCGGAAGAAGGGTCGGAGGCGGGGCATGCTTATAACAGGCGGCGGCGGCAGCCAACGAAATGACGGAATAGGCAGGTATGGCCAACAGGAAAGGCAGGAGGCGGATCGTGCAGGAGGCCGTGCGGGGCCACCACCACAGCTTGCTAAAGCAAAGCTTCATTCTGATATTGCCCTTGGTGACCTGTAACCTTAACACGCTAAAGGAGAAGCAGCACAGTCTTGTACTGCCTTAGGCCAAGCTTTCAATATTTATTATCAACAGCAAGATACAGCACAAGGTCCCAACTGAAACATGCAGCTTCATTTACAACTTAGCACCCAACTCGGCTCTTTTTGAATGCCTTGGCAACAAGCTGAGCTGCAAAAGGCATGCTGGGTGGGCTGCAAGAGCTGCAGAGCGACTCACTGACAGTGACCAACATTTCCTTCACAAGACTTCCTCCCTAATGAAGACTACTGATTATACAAAGGTAAAAACACGACCACCGTGAGACAAAACACAGATTGAGAAGAACAAGTCAGCTGGCTGCATGCTTCCCAAACACTGCACTGCCATCACAACTAAATGGGAACTGAGAATCCAGACATTATTGTAACAAAAAAGTACAGAGATCTAGTGAGCTTCTGGATCTCACCAGTTTCTCTGAAAACAGAATGGTGGAAGTGAGTAATACAAGTCCATATGTAAAACGTGTCTATGTAATTAAAGTATGTAATGCATGTTTCCTAAAGCACTATAAACTCGCTGAAGTGCCAAGTCCTGCCTACTGTAGGCAAATCAGGAACAAAGCAACCACAGAAAAATTAGTAATGCAACACCATATTATAATTGCTATTTCTCAGAAAGCCTCTTGCAGGTGATCAGAGTTTATTAGCTCAATGCCTAAGGAAGTTTCTTTATAAAATTCCTGCTTACCTATCCTGCTATAAACTCTGAACATAGATCAGTTTAACAGAATACAAGTGTATCACACAGCCTTACATACAAATGAAGATAAAGTGTTTCAGAAGAGAGCACTCCCTGGAGCAGGCAGAATGTTATCTATGCCAGCCTTGTGAAGGACACTGAAGTTACAAAGGGTTTTTCCCTCCTAATGTCACGTCACATTTAACTGTTGTACACCATTTTCTGTATTATTCTGCTAAAACTAATCACTGAATGAAATAGCTGCAGATGCTGCCACGGACAAATGACACAACTGTACACAAGGTGTACAGCATACAAAAACTAAAAGAACTTTTCTAATAGCTGCTGACTGACTGATTTTAAGCAGAAGGGATCCAATTTCTGCCAAGTTGTGCGTGGAGAGGAAAAAAAGAATCAGCAGTTTTCTTCACTCTCAGCTTAGCCCTTACCTTCTTTTGAGAAGAAATGCATTTCCTTCTTAGCCTCAAAGCAGCAACAAGGACATGAATAATGAATATAGTAGAACTTATATTAAGATTCCACTTCAGCATAACATAACTTGAAGAGAAGTGAGCTTCCAAACAGGGGTTGCAGGGAAGGAAACAGTGACAGCACAGTGTTACCCGATGTGAAATACTGTCTCTTCCAATTCATGTTCTAAACTAGGTATTGACTTTTGCACAGTTAAAATACTGAGCTCTTACTTTATGGAAAAAGTAAATCAGACCATGTAATGAAAGCCTGCAGCTGTACATCAATAATTAAAGGGCATCATATCCACTGGAACACTTGAGAATCTGAAAGAATTCTGGATCTCTGACTTACAAAATAAGCTGTTTTCCAACCAGTAAGAAGATGAGTTCATATGGTTCAATTGCAGCTTCCTTTAAAATGCCCTCCTTAGTATACACTGACTGATGAAGTTCAAAATAAAAGCTTAGTAAATAAAATAAAAGATTAAAAAAAATAAGTCTAAGGACCCTGTGTTCCTGTTAGTGCTTCATGCCTGCAGCTACCATGAGAGGTCAGGAAGCAAAGTAGTCACAGGATGAAGGTCTCTTCTCTACAGAAAAATCAGACAAGCAAAGCACATGTGATAACAAGGGAACTTCAGAAGCACATTTCACTTTTAAGAAGGAAAACAGACATACTTTCATCCATTTGCCATGTAATGTCCCTTCATTGCATATCTATAAAGAAAAAAAAGTAAACAGAAGTCAGTATCTGTTGATATACAAAGTAGTAGCGCATACACATAAATAAATATTTCACCATCGTTACTGAACTTTTTCATCAGCCCTCCAGGGAAATAATCTGTATGAAAATTCAAGGTGCTTATTTCTCTCATCCTTCTGCCTGCAGCCTGCAGCCTTACTAAAAAGAACACCCATGCTCTGAGAGCTCTCTACAACGCTTGGCCTCTTCACACGTTATATGCTATTAACGTCGTCTCTACAGCTTGCAGACAATGCTATTCTCCATGATTTCACTTCAAGACATAGCCATACAGAATGTCAGTAACAACACGAAAACAAGACGTTACTTAAATACTTCACATACAGAACTTATATTCTACTATAAAAGCACAGCAAGGCAAAAACTCGTATCGGACACACACCTCCCACCTCACCCCCTCCAAGGTTCATTTCTCAAGCATCAACGCATTACCATAGTGCAAGAGTGACATTGACTGAAACAGTCAGCAGCAGGAAGGGAAACAGTCCAGAAGAGATGGACATTGTATGTACCTTCCCACAGTGCAACACAAAGGGCAGACTTTCTCAGTGGGATGGGAACCGTAACTTGAGAAGCTTCACTGCAGACAGTGAAAACTCAGAAATGCAGCCCTAACCATACATCATTTATATTCACCACTGAGATCAGGTCTAAGCATTAACATCGTTTGACATGAGAAGATTATTGGGAAGCCATTGCCGAGGATGTTATGCTGCTACAGAAAAGCAGAAACAGTCTGAGAGTAGCATCAATGCAAGCATACCAAGTCCTAGAGCTTCCCTGCTTTGTCTAGCGCAACATAAAAACATCGGTCCCTTAAAGTAATTAAGGGTCAGTGTTTGTTAGAACAAAGAGCATATAAACCCTAAGGCTTGGATTTACCAGTCAGTTCAATTTTGAGGTTCCTCTCTTTAGCTTCTCTCATCAGCCACCACTCACAGCCTCAGAAGTCATTCTCATCATTTCCATAGCGCATCTCAGATAACTCAGTGCCATCTAGAAAGAAGACAGACACTATAAAGACATTATAAAATTCTTTGCTTTGCTCACTGCCACACTATGCAGGCAGGCACACTGCTCCAGCATGGCTCACACATCCTTTCCTCTGTACTTCAAACCAAAACAAGTAGTGAAGGGAAGAAGCAAAGCTGCCACTCTTCATTCTCAGCGTGTTAACTCAGCATAAACGTTTGGGTATGTTTCCCTTTTTTTGGGGGGAAGCACTCTGTCTCTTGCTTTTTTAAAAAGAGACTATGCTTTCTTTTTTTGCAGCAGAATGTGATTAGCTATTGGACATTTTCTGTTCCTCGATACAATAATGCTAAAACCTGTATTTATGATTACCTTCATCTCAGCAACCACTGAGAAATTCACAGTGTTAGGATCATAAGAAAAATAATCACTGTTGAAAGTACAATTAGCAGATTATGTGCACATGGTGACATATGGGGGAAAAGAGAGTAAGGAGAAAAAAAAAAAAAAAAAAGCAGCATGAATTGAAATCCAGTTCCTTCTCAGACTTTTGCATTTCTACATCAATCAGGAGAGGGGGAGAGGAGGAGGGGGAAAGAGAGGAGAGCACCGTCTTCGGAATGCAAGTGTAAATTTCTTTCACGAATCTGCAGACACCAACCATGATATCTCAGAACAGCCACAGAGCACACACAGCACATCTCAGCGAAGGGAGCACGGAGGACACGCTGCT